ATAAAAAAAAAAAAAAAATAAATATAATATTATGATTCTCGTGAAATAAAATGAACAAAATGTTGAAAATTAAGCTTGACAAATTAACAATGAAGTTTGATTGATTGCTTGAATTTAAAAAAAAAAAAATTTCGAAAAAAATTTTAATTTATACCGAGCATTAAACTTTTTTTTAAAAAAATAATTATAACCCCACCACACACTTTTTTATTATTATTATAAAAAATGAATTAATAAATTTTTATTTTTTTTTAATTGAATAAAAATAAAAAATACCATTTTTGGAAGCCATTGCAATCTGAATTATACCAAAAAAAATGATGTTGCCTCCTGTTCAATTTAAACAAAAATTTTTTTTTTTATATTTGGTCAATAGTAATATTAAAAAAAAAAAAAAAAAAAAAAATAAATTTATTTATTTATTTATTTATTTATTTATTTATTTATTTATTTATTTATTTATTTTATATAAAAAACTTTAAAGTCATGTTGAGAACTTTTTTTTTATTTATTTATTTATATTATTTTTTTATAATTTAATTTTTATTTATTTTAATTTTAATTTTAATTTTAATTTTTATTTTTATTGAATATAAAATTATATAAAATAACCATCAATTTAAATCATCCTATTTGTTTAATAATATGATGGGTATATATAATAACAAAAAAAATTATAAAATAATAAATAATTATATTAATTAATATTACATTTCTATAAATATATAATAATATCACTGAAAAAAAAAAAACACGACAAATTTTTTTGATAATTATTTATTTATAAATTTTTCTCTGATTTAATATAATGAATTAATAAATTTTTGTTTTTTTTATTAAATTTACTGAATAAATACTATCTCTTATATATTTTATCATTAAGTAAGATTATTTTTTAAAAAAAAAAAAAAACAAATAAATACAAATATTTTTTAAATTCCTTTTATTTTTTTAAATTTAAATTTTTTTTATAAAAATTATAAAAATATAAAATTAAAATTAAAAATTCAAATATCATAATAATAATTACAACAAAAAGCATATATAATTAAAAAATGTTAGCTTTAATTATTATTATTATTAATCTCTATTGGTTACTATCTTTTAGAACTATATATTTCCTACAGGAAAACCAAAGTTCAAGATAGTGAAATTAAATTTTCTGGTGCTTATTATATACCAAATGCAACTCCAAATAAATTAGTACTAGAACCACTAAAGCCAATACCATCACCACCACAACATCCATTCCAACAACTAAAACCACTACAGCCACAACAATCACAACAATCTCCATTTCGTTTTGGTGAAACTACATCATCAAGATACATTTTTAATAACGATATTAGGAATCGTGATTATACAATACCACTACCACCATCGAAACAATACCCAGTTCAATCACCAAAGCCATTACAACCACAGCAACCACAGCAATCTCCATTTCGTTTCGGTGAAGCTACACCATCAAAATACATTTTTAATAACGATATTAGGAATCGTGATTATTTATATTAATCTGCTAGCTCACCATTTTTTAATCAAACTATGGGTCATTCATATCAAATACCAACTCCACAGTTTCAATATCAAGATAAATGGTATAAATCTATAATTAAACATTTACCCTTATTTGGTTCAAAAGGTAATTCTAAAACACGTCAATGAAGTAGGATAGTAAAACCAAAATACCAATTTTCCCATTATAAGGAGCTGCCATAGATTCAAGTTTAGAATTTAAGAAAAGTTTAAAGGTAAATATAAATTTTATAAAAAAAATAAATAAACCAAATAAACTAATATTTTTTATATTATATTCATCTATTTGAATTTAGGTATTGGCCAAACCGAAAATATTTATATTTTAATTTTTCATAATTAAATCGAAAATGAATTCAGCACCAAATCGAAGGAAATTAAATAATTCTAATAAAAATAGAAAGTGTCATTGGTATAATAGAATTCTTAAATTAAATAGGTAATAGTGCAGGTCCATATAGTGGTTCAAATATTGTTACAAATAATAAATCTAATATTGTCAATTCAAGTGATAAACTTATAGTGGTAATTCAGGTGGGGTAAAGTAATCAAATTTTAGCAGTTATTTCAAATAATTTAAATACAAGTTCATCAAGTTTTAAAATAGATAAAGAGCTGTAAATAGAAATAAAATAATAAAGTAGACGTATTATAAATCCATTAAAATAGAAATAATTATAATAATTATAATAATAATCAAATTCAAATAACCCAGTTTTATATGAAGTTTTTAGATCCTTTCAAATGTTTTAAAAGAAATAAAAGAAATAAAAGAATCGTTTTATTATATTATATTTATAGTTTTTATTAACAGCACAAACACACCCGTCACAATTTTTCTCTTTTCTGCCTTTCTTTTAATTTTTTTTTAAAATTTCTTTTAATTTTTTTTAAACATTTTATTTATTTTTTTTTTTATTTTTTTTTTAATTATAATCCAAAAAAACAATAATCAATATTAAATTATAATATACGTATTCATAATTCTACACATTTTCTAAATTAGCTCTATAAATAGACCCAAAAAATTTTATTTTCAATTTTTTTTTTTTTTTTTACAAAAATATTTTATAATTTATAAATTATTATCCTTTTTTTATCTTTTTTTTTTTTTTTTTATCGACTTTTATTCTTTTTTTTTAAATCTTCCAAGTGATATAAAAAAGGATAACGATAAAGATAATTTTCAACCTCTATATTTAATACCACGTGGCTTTCAAAAGATTTTATAAAAATAAAAAGTTATTAAAATACTATTTTATACCATATAATTATTTAATTTTTTATTTATTGTTTGTATTAAACCAAAATAAATTATATAATTAATTTAAAAAGAAATTTTATCTTTTAATTGGTGCTACATGTTATGGTTGTACTTCCTAAATTCATGATGGTTACTTCACCACCTTTAAAATCACTAACGATTTCTCTAACATTTTGAAATACACACATTTCAGGTGGAGCAGAATCACTAATAATTCTAACATTACCTTCACCACCACCATCAACTACAAATCTGAAAACTGTTTGTCCATTTGAAGTTTTCTAAAATTATAATTAGTTTTAATAATATTTTCAAATATATAGAGAATAATACCTACAATATTACTTTGTGTTTGAGCTGGTTCTGATTTTAAAGAAAAAAAAAAGAAAAAATAAATTAGAAAAATTTCTGTAAAAATTTATATAAAAAACAAGAATAGCATACTTAAAGTCCAAAATCCTGCCACTTTTCATTTATAATAAATAATAATATTAAAATTAGTTTTTTTTTTTTTTTTATACAATTAATTTACATATAATTACTTTTTATTTATTTTTTATTATACTAAGTTTTAATTAATTAATATATATTTGAATGAATAAATGAATAAAATAGAACTGGTATTTATAATTTTTTAATTAAAAAAAAAATTAATTTTTTTTTTTTTTTTTTTTTAAATTTTATTTTTTAATTAAATTTATTTTTTTTAACTTCGCTTATTTATCCAATAACTTACCAATACTCCAAAAAAACACTCTATCAACCCCTTTTTTTTTTTATTATCTTCTTTTTTTTTTTGCTTTTAAGTGAAACAATTTAAAAACTACCCAAACACTTCATTAACCCAATTTTTTATGGGTTTTATTTAACAAGTAAATTTTATCTTCTTTTACTTGAATTTAAAATTAAATTACTATTGGTTATTTTTAGGGATTTTAATTTTTTGCACTTTTATCATTTATTATTTTATAAACTGATTTTTTTAAAGTTGTAAGTTTGTCATTATCTTCATTTTTTCAATCATCTTTTTCAAAAATAACTTTTTTCCTAAACCCACCTTAAATTTTTTTTTTTTTTTATAAATATACACATAAATTATAAAAAAATAAAAAAAAAAAAAAACATGCTTTTTTTTTTAATAATTTTTTTTTATAATTTTAATTTTTTTTTATTATAACAGTGCTTTATTTTTATCAGTGTTGGCATTTATATTCACACCTCCCCAACAATAAAATGACAAAATTGTATTTAAAATAAACATAATAATATTAGCTTCAATCTACCAACAATAAAAGATGTAATAACAATAAAAGGAGTAGACCAAATAATTGGCAAATAACATTGCCAAAAGTGACATATTAGAAGTATGGGACAATTTAATCAATAAATTGAAAAAACATTAGAAATAACAATTATAAATGAAACCAAAACAAGAAAGAAAAAGTTAACAATCAGACACAAATATGCAGATGAAGAGGAGAAGCAATTAAAGAACAATTTTAAAGAGATATTGGACCAACAATTAGAAGATAATTAATACAAAAGTTCAACTGATTATCTTAACAATAGCGACAAAACAAATAAATATACAACAGCTAAACTCAAATCAAGGGAATCTGCAGCAAAAATCACTCAAAAATACGGAAAACGTGCAAAAAAAATACATATATAGATATGATTATCATAGGAGCTAAATACTACAATGAAATCTTTCAAGAAAGAGCAACAAATAAATCCAAATGGAGCTTCAATCAACATGGTAAATAACAGTCAATAAAGTGATCTTAGATAATCTCAGCAATGATATCATGGAAAAAGAAATAACAGTGATAGTTGAAAGGATAAACGAAGGAATAGGTGTATTGTACCGATAAACAAAAGTGCAGAACTAATTTCGAATTACAGACCAATCATACTTCAAGATATTAGAATTTCTATCAGATGTAATATCAGAGGCATTTGATTCGATATCACTCGATATCATCAGAACATTGGAATAAACTGCCAAACAATAAAAGACATGCTCACAGATTAACAAATCAGAGTGGTAATCAATGTGCTCTGTTTCATTCATGTTCCAAACAAAGGGGACCCAATATCGCTAACACTATTTGCTCTAGTAGTGGAGTGTATGGCAACGTATCAAAATCAAAAAAAGAATAGAAGGAATTTTTTGTCAAAATATTCGTCAATTTGCAGATGAAAGTACAATTGCAATTTAATTAAACTTTCAGTGTTTATTTTTTAAAAAAATTCATGTTACAGAATCAAAATATAATAAATGTTTGTTCTGTATATAAAATTATTTTAATAAGAGCTCTAAAATTATAAAATAAAAAGGCGTATTATAATTTTATTAAATAAAATATATTTTGTTTAGAATTAAAATTTATTTTATTTAAAAATCAACATCACCAAAACTATTAAATGCGAATCTGTGAGCATGCCTTTTATTGTTTTAATGAATTTGATTGGCAATTTGAGATGTTCCAGTGTTCTGATGATTGCATCGTGTGATATCGAATCAAATGCTTTTTCGAAGTCATAAAACGTTATTATTGGCTTGGTGTCTTTGTCTAAGTTTGAATTGTTTAATCTTATTATTATTTCGGCACCAAAAGGGCTTTGTGACATAGAAATTATTTTGTAATGAAGCTCTATACAGTTTACAAATGATTAAATATATATGTAAAATAAGTATAACAAATAAACAACAAATAAACAAATATTATATGTGTAATGAAATTGTAGTTTATTGAATAAAATAGAATAAAAAACCTCTGAAGTTTTAGACTGAGGACTTGAGGTATTTATACTGAATGAGATTGGTTCTAGAAACTAATTCTTAAGTTAGTTGGAAATACTGGAATTGGTAGTTACTAAACAGTAGTTAGTAAACAGCAGTTAGTGACTCTTAATAAGTCTAGGATCATAGCGTTAATATACAGTATTTCGCAAAAGTTTTGACCCCTTTTATAAATTTTTTTCATTATTTTTAAAAAGATAATTTAAATTTTAATATATAATTTATTTTTTATTCGAAATTTTTGTTTTTTAATATTTTGTAAATCCACCTTTATTATCAATAATTTGTTGTATTCTTCTTGGGATTGATTCATAAAGATTATCAATTATATTTTGATTAATATTTTTCAATTAAAAGATTGAAATAATGGTTTGGGTTCCTGATAGAAGCCAAATTAACACGTCGTTTTAATACTGACCATAAATTCTCGATAATATTAAGATCTGGTGAATAGGGTGGAATATATAAGACCTCAATGTTCATTTTTTCATAATAATCGGTCAATAATTGGGTCTTATGAATGGCGCAATTGTCTTGTAAAAGATACACATTATCATTTAAAATTCTTTTATCTCATAAAGTTCCTCTAAAGCCCTGTTTTATAACTTCTATATATTTTGCAGCATTTGTGTTACCCCTTATAAGACATACACGACCTGTACCAAGAGCTGTAACACAGCTCCACATATTAATTGAGCTTCCACTTCGTTTTCGTTTGGCCAAA